TGTGGTTTCCACATTTTCATTGGAATCTATTCCCCACCCATCCACAATGTCATTGTATGATTCCAGTATTGAACTATTTTGATGTCTATTTCCCAGAGTGAGTGGATCTGGTTACCAGGTTATTGATTGGTTTTCATACAGACAGAGAGACCTGTGTTGGTCTCTGATCTAAATCTGCCTCTCTGTGGGATGATTGTTGCAGCTACAATTTCAGTGCAGACCACCCTCAATGAACTATACCTCCCTGAGTGGACATTAACAAATGGATTTAGCTTGTGTGAAAGTAAACAGAATAAAGAGGTTGCCTAGCATTTTATGGATTTATAGCATTTTATATTTACAGTGATAATCTTATCAACCTTCCAATCTATAGGCTATGACATTTGTGCATTGATATACTATACACATATATTCCTATATATCTGGGCATTCTGTATCAATATGTGTATTATGGAAAGTCATTTTTCGCAAGGAAGCCGCTCCATCTTTTATATAGAATACAGTATCATACAAGGTAGCGGCACACAAGAGTACAGAAGGGCATTTGTCCCTGGACACTTTTGCTTTTACAAAGAAGGACTGGTGTTGAAAGTTGCTAACCCTGGGAAGCAACTATAAAACTAACTTCTTCATACCACTGCATTGCAAAAAAAGAAATATTGACAAAATCATTCTACAGAAGTATACATCTGCCAACTCATTGCCTTTCAATAATGACCCTGCAAAGCCAAAAATAGGGTGATGACACAGTCAGAAACTCCTCTTGAGCTTTCCACTGATATCTCTCCCCACCGAAAGGCTGCCATGTACTCCATAATACCATATAGTACATTACAGGTTTCCAATGAGCAGTAAACGTTAAACAGTAATATCAAATAGCAAAATGGGAAATATTCAGAGAAATGGACCTGTATTAAACCAATACTGGCTGCCTATATAACATATACCCAAACAATGTCCCCAATCTCACTGCTTTAGAAAAACGGGCAGTTCCTTCCTTTTGGAAACCTGTAATGAACCTACTCCCAGCATTCATTCTCCTCATGCATGTAGATCAACAGATATAGTAAGGTGTGGCATAAGAAGAGACTCCTGCTCTTGGCACCCTAAGTAGAGCAAAGGTGGTTTTAGCTGACTGAACATGAATATCCTTGCTTTCTCGTACATTACTTTGGCTACTCTATGCATTAGGCTGATACATCAAGGCATTTCATACAGCCACAACATCCTATTGAAGAATAAAAGTTCTTAATCATTATGAGCAGTAACATGAACACCGATATAGAAACGTTGTGTGCTTTATTGTTACGGCCAGTCTATGAATAGATACATTTCTTTTAAATAATAATATAAATGCACAATAATGTAAATTCCCCTGTATTGTATGGCTCAGGGGTGACCAACAATTAATTAATTCTCCCTGGCATATTCAGTTAGTACAACAATTGTAATAATCATCGCTATGGCTATCCCTAGAGTTAAAAGAAAAAACCACAGGAACATATAAAAACTGAGTTCACAATGCCTTGCCACTTGCCAGAAATTCCTTGCCACTGACAGAAATAATGTACTACCCCAAGTTAATCAGTCATTAAATGAAATTGAAAAAGAAAGCAAAGTGCATTTTACATCACTAAAATATACCTGAAGTATAACAAATATTAGAAAAGAGAATATTTTTTTTTTAATTCTTCAGCATTTCAGCTTTAAAAAGACAAATGAAAAACTCTTTATGCCACATTTTAAACAGTATCCACTGGGCAGCGCATACAGTTATTCTATGAAACACTGTTTTATAAAAATTAGAATGCACATAAGGACTGTAAAAATCAATTTCTAACACACAAAATGCAGTAATTAATCTTTGCAATGGCAATACATTTATCATTAGGTATTGATTTTTTTTTGGTCATAACTGACACTAATGTATATTTTATAGTAATTCACTTTTAGTCATAAAGTGAATTTTGAAATGGAAAGCTGAAATACTGCTAATGTGGGTGTCTGTTTTAATTAATACAAACAAAAAAGATATTTAGCGAAAAAAAAATCATACATTTAGGGAATTATTTTAGGATTGATTTACTGGTATACTATGCCACATATGGCAAAGTAGCAAGTATATGACATCACTTAAAATTTGTAATGGGTTTTCTAAGTATTATTTAACTATATACTTAAGTAAAGTTTTAAAATCTAAAAAATAAAAAAAAAACTTAAGCCTTGCAAAGAAAAGTAAAAAAATGATTCCAATATAAAAAAAAGCCATAATTTCATTTTTAAAAAGTCACAAATTTAAAAAGCCCACAAAATATATTTGTGTGTAAGTAAAAATCAGTAACAACGGAATCAAGGTTAATATCAAACCACTTAAAATAGTTTTCGCATAAATTAGGCCCAATATGCTCTTAAGCGTTATTTTTCCTAATACCTATAACACAAAGTCACAGTCCTCTATGTGCGATTTCATACTATGCAGTTAACAATTATTTGCTTGCTGACTTTCAGTTGAACATTCACTTCAAATCAGAGGTTAAAAAAGCTTTCATGTGCCAGTTTACAATTGTTATGGTGCCAGTTATATTTTCAACTACTTTGAAAAGTAGGCCCTCTTGTCTGGAAGGGATTTAGGATTACAATTATTTTTTTATACCTAGCTTTTAGTTAATGAGGTAAAAAGAAACAGATAAAAGTTTGCTTATGACTCCATCAATGCTCCTTTGCCAGATCCTATTAGAAGTAAAGCTGATTGTGTTTGTCCTAACTGTCCAATCCATTTGAAGCAGATATAGGTTTTCTGGCCAGCTGAAATTCTACAAGAGCAACCCTTTAATGGTAGATAAAAAATAAATCAAAGCTACTATACAGCAAAAGGTTGAAATGCTACTGTTAATTTATTGTGTTTCACGGGTTCATAATTGTCATGGTCTGAAACAGGCATGTCAAACTCAAATAGATCAGAGGGCAGAATGGAGTGGAATTATTCTGCAAGGGACCACAGAAGACCTACTAAGAACCACACCTAATTCCAAAAAATACTCAAGCGCCCAACATCAATAATAATATTGACTACAATATTTATTACAGTGCGTTACCAATGATAAAGGTGCCAGAAGGCATTTTTGCAGTATTCAGCTGCAACGTTATATAAGGAAATGGTAATGTTTTGAGCTACAAAACAGTCCAGGGCTTCATTCACTTAAAAACCTTAAAAGGGTTGCAAAGAGATAGAGCGGGGCGCATACTGCCCCCTCTCACCCGATAAACAAAACACTAGTTGACATGTCTAGTCTAGAGTGATGTGGTTTGGCTGAAGGTCTTTTACACTAGAAATAAACATCAGAGTTTAAGAGGGAGCTGATTGACTAGTGCTGTTATTTACAGAAAGCTTCCATGATTAACATTAATGTAACAACTGCATTCCTAATTGTTGCAAAACATGCTAACGCTGTGCTTTTAAAGCCTCAACTTGCAGAGGATGTAATGAAGTCATGAGCTTTCTCCTAGCAAAGAAAATATATTTTGGTGTAAACCAACATGATCTCTATACTGTGACAATCAATTTCATGTGTGTGTATGCTTCCCTGCCTCGTGGCATATATGAATGCCAATGTGTTCCATCTATACCTAACTGAAACAAGAAGGAAAAAAATGAATATGGGTAGTTTATAGGAAGGTGTATAATTAGTCAATCAGTATTATGTTACCCTATTCATATCTTAATATCCATTTTAATACAGATGGTACACACAGGAATAATTTCGTCAAGTCGCCCAGCAGTATATAACAGCGCATGTGTGTCTCAGGGACTCTCTGTGAGCCAAGGTACATTCCAGCAGTTAATTTTACCTGCTGCTTGCAAGATGACTTGGGATAATTCCATGTCATTTGTGAAATATTAAAAACATTTACGTAGGATGCCAGAGCAATTGCAACAGATAATATCTAAATTGTATTTTCTGCTGGCTTTCTGCATGGCATTTTGTAATTATAGCTGTGCTGTTTCCTTATTTATCCTGAATAAATAATAACATGTCCCTGCTTTTA